CCCAATCCTCTATGCAATTCTAGAAATTAGGCAGCGAGGGAGTTAAGAAATACCACTTTTCAGCAGATTCTTGCATCTTTTGTGGCCCCTTGAGTTGACCTCAACAGCCATTTGAAAAGGTCAAAAGCGGTATTTGAGACTATGAAGAACCTGCAATGAAACTTGCACAAGAACTTTAGAGCTTCCTATAAGGTTTATCAGGTTTTTGGCCCATTTAGCACTTTCAGTAGCTTCTGTTGCTTATGCATGGATCACCTTACACCCTTTTTTCACATTGACTTGATGTTGAAATGTTGGTTTGCTCGCCCTACTTCTGTGGCACTTGATGGATTTTCTACATTGGATTGTATAGAAAAGGCATGATAAGAACCTGAGAGAAACTGGAGGGCCTTGACCATGATGTCACTCATGAACAGGAAAAAAACCAACTTGTGTCATTTTCATGGAACTCACTTTGGAAAACAGTCTTTGTACTTGCCATTACAAACAAAAGAATGACCGACCATGAGGCTGTCCACAATATGTCCCAATACAGTTATAACAAACACATCTTTCCTGTGAAAATCTACATGCCAGTGAAAGCTGAAGGAAAAAGTAGGCAGGTCAGATCATACAGCATATGCCACAAGCAAAATTTTTACTTTCACTTGTTAAATGAACTGTTTCTAAGATGAGCTATCAGAGCTTCTTCGTATCTGTGCCTGCACTGACTTTTCACAAGAAGGCAGCAGCAAAATTACCAGATTCCAAAGACTTACTATCTTTCTCTTTGCCTGTTCCCTGCAGTTCCAACTGGAACCACTGTCCTGAACTGTTACATGGAGCTTTGTGCTCTGAAACAAGCGTCTTCAGCTAAAAGATTTGCAAGCTGAATGCTACAAAATAAATGTTTAGCATGTATTTTGGTATCTATCACCAAAAAGTGCTGTCAGCCAGCAGTGTTTTTATCAAATTAAGATATAGAAGACAACCATATCAAATAGAAAGTTGTTCTTCAAACTTGCATTTTCACATCTGTTTTGCTGGTCTCCAACAATATGAAAGATTGTATTAAGGATATTATACAGGTGACTAAGTTACACATCAGGTTTCTATCAACTGTTGTCCCACCAAATGTTGGTTATGATTTGCTAATTAATCCAGTATTGTCAGAATCCCATTTTAAATTGAAATATTTTAGTAAGGTGTTACAAAAGGTTTGGGATCATAATTTTTAGAAGGTGATAGATATCAACAAATAGAAGACTTTGAAAAATGTTTATGCTTAAAATATGACAGCTGCACATACCCTTTTCAACTTTTATGCTCTAGCCAATGTATTATAATTGAGCTCTACTGAATTACTTTTCTAGTGGATAAATACTGTACATGCTATAGTGTGAAAAGACATCATGTAATATATACTAATTAAGCTATTATATCTGTAGAGAAGATCGTATCTGAAATATCAAACTAGCAGGAATTAAACACCTCAAAGGATTAATGAAATGTTATGGAGCCATTCACTTCCAGGTCAACAGGTTCAATTTCAGCTTAGTTTAATAGTTGTAATGAATTTATGTGCTGGAGATAACAATTCTCTGCAAACATTCATAAATCAGGGTAAGAGCCCCTGGCTCGTACCAAGAACAGCAGCCTTTAACCAGCACAGCCAGAATAAGGCAGCCAGGAATATTATGCTAGGCCTATATTTGGCATGTAGCCTTAGGCTCCATGAGATCAAACAGCACATTTACTGGATGCCTGCAATATGCGTAGGCAGCAATGAGGGACTCTGGAGACACTCACTTAGTTCTCTTTACAGATCTGCCAACAATTGCAAACCCCAGCAATAAAGTTATCACAGGCAGAACATTCAACTCCATCTTTTATTTGACTTGATTAAGAGTCCATTCTGCCTATCCTGATCACTCTCTCAGCAGCCCTTGCTGCTTCTAGCAGAGGCACCTGCAGCACAAGAAAAAGATGAGGTGGGGGCACAGAAAAGGAAGAACTGTAGCCAACTTTTATGCAGTTATCTTACAGCTAATGTGACAGTAAATATACAACAAACCCTGATTTTGTGGTGGAATCACAAAGCTGAGGTTAAACTTTTTTTGAGATTAAATAACCACCATGTCAACAGATTTAGGCATCAGCTCCTTAGGATGACAGGCAGTAAACAAACAATAACCAGTTTATGCATAAGAGAAAGTAGTTTAGAAATAACTACATCAAGAACAAATAACTGTATCTTAGTCAAGTATGCATAAAGAAGTACATCCAACCTCTGCGGATACACACTGAAAGGTGACAAACTGTAGAAGTGTAACAATCACCCAAAGCCTATCACTTAAATTTGCTATGAGGACTCTGGTTTTAGACACACAGAGATTATGCAGTGTGCCGTCATAAGCTAAGGAATGATTCAGAACACCAGAGTTCTAGCCGCAGATTTTTTCACTGATCTTCTGTGAAGCTTTGCTAAAATCACTATCTTACTGAGCTTCAGTATCTGCAAAACGGTTAGAAAGTCCACCTATGCAGGTATTACAGAAAAACTTAACTAGTATTTATGAGGTGCTTCAAGTGATCTAGAAATGCAAGATATTAATATCAGTCCTTACTGCAGGTGACTAAACCACACTCTGCAATATGGATTGGAAAGCTAAAGAAGCCACAGTGTACTGCTGACAGAAAAGTCTTATACTGCTACCTCTATTACCAACCACACCTTGTGATCATCCTGCTCCCCCTTCAAAAGCTCCCAAGATCTGGAAAAACAACAAGGATTTTCAGCAGAGAGAATTTTGATGGCAGTAAAATTGCTTACAACAGACTATTATATTGGAAATAGTTTTTCAACCAAGAGTATTGAGATACCAACACCATACTAAAAAAAAAAAAAGCTGTGGCAGCCTACATAATATATGAAAAAAAAGCATCAAGCTTGCAGGATTGTTCTCTTTTAATGACTACAAACAGAATCCAAGAACAAAGAGCATTCTAACAGATCTTTGCTTTGCTTTCCTGGCACTTATGTATTTCAAGTTTAAAAAAAAAAAAAAAAGAGTAAACATGACAAACCAAAAGTTTTAAGGAGCCATTTTTATTACAGGACTGCCTTGTAGGCACATCCCCTGCTTATCAAATCTCTCAACACTCCCACTACAGTAAATGCATTAAGAGATTTAGTGAAATTTGTATCTTTCAACAAGAAGCTGTGAAGTACAGTATGCAGCATTGGTGGCGGAAATGCAGATGCGTTTTTACTGATCTATCTTACCTTTTTTCACTTTAGCCAATATTCTCTCTCTTGTGCGACATGCGTCTTTCAAGTACTGAATTCCTTCAACACTTCTAGATCTATTTTTCCTGTGACATACTAAGTTACACAACCGCAATGAAAAGTTTCTACAGATCATCAGGAGCTTGCAACCATAGTATTGTCCTAAGGGATATAGTTTGAAATTATAATTATTATGATTAATTTTAGCCAATATTCTCTCTCTTGTGCGACATGCGTCTTTCAAGTACTGAATTCCTTCAACACTTCTAGATCTATTTTTCCTGTGACATACTAAGTTACACAACCGCAATGAAAAGTTTCTACAGATCATCAGGAGCTTGCAACCATAGTATTGTCCTAAGGGATATAGTTTGAAATTATAATTATTATGATTAATAATCTATTAATATATTATATTTTTATATATTAACATATTATGTACAATAATAAATTATTATATATACACACACAACTTAAAATGAATGTCCTTTAATTTAAAAAGTGCAATTTTTACTATGACTTCCCAAACCTTTTGAAAGCAACATTTTTGTAATTTTTCTGTTCAAGAAAGAAAAAAGAAAATACTTTAACAATATAGACAGATGTAATGTATAGTATTCAGTAAGAATTTAAGGAAAAAGGGCCCTCCAAGAGGCACAAGGCTTTTTCTGTGTTGGACACAAGACAAGCAGCAGGAAGAAACCCCTCCCAAAGCACTTGAGAAAAATATTAGGGATAATTCAAGATGTAAAGTAAAACCTGAAATTTTCAACATCCCATTTTGGACTTTGAAACTATAGTTTTAGTGTAGAGGCCTCACTCTTGTGTTTGTGTGTGCACTTTATATACACACACACACACACGTGTGTGTATATGCATATGTAAGGTTTGTAAGGAGAGAAATATGTTTTATTAGACCAGTATAGTTGGAAAAAGTAGATAAGCCCTTTGTCGGTCTAATGTAAGCTATTGCCTCTCTCTTGAAACCTTTTCTCTCACATCACCATGATCATGATTACACGATTTTTTTTTTTTTATTTTGTATGTAAATAATCTCCTTTGGTGAACTTAAAAATTGCATCTCCAGCATTCCACTGCAATACTTAAGCCACTTAAAACAGACAGTAGAAATATGAAACTTGTGTAGTTTCAGACTTCAACTTGAACGCTATAAAAACCTCTTCTATGTTCTTAGTCCTAACAGACACAAGCATCAAGTTGCATGTCAACCAGGAGCCCTGGATAACAAAACAAGCTTTGACACTGAAGCGAGAGAGAGAGGCAGCAGCATCGGGGTCTTGGTGTTGCAGTATGAACTATAAGGTCCACAGGGAAATCCAAATGGTGTATTTTTCTGTTTACCTTCAGGTGACAATGTCCAAATGCTTCAACACATCACTGAATGTCTGTTACAAAAACTCCTGTCACTAAGAATAAAAATGGATGGATGAATAATGGTCAGGCTGAACCTTCTGCCTCTTGCGAGTAGAGAGATTTAAAAACAGCTTGTAAGCAATATGCAGCCAATCTAGACCTATATAATCAGACCTAGAATCATCAACATTACAGATACATCAACTTACCTCTGAATAGAGATAAGTTAGGTAGTTGCTGGTATTTCTCAAAGGACCCCGGTTCATCGACTGAAGTCAGTAAAGGAATTACTTGTTTCACAATCTTTTTTTCCAACTATATTCACTGACAACACTGAACAGGTTATTTTTTCCTTTTTAAAAGCTTGCATTCTGATTTAATTGAAGAAATATGATGAAGTCTGCCCCTCTCCATATATAAAAAAGAATGTTTGAAATACAATACACAATAAAATATTTTGAATGTCCCCTTCATGTAAAACCCTACCATACATGAAGCAGATTTTTATTTTAATACAAGTGAGCAACAAAAAACCTAATAGTAAGTACAGATAAAGTACAGATATCCATAACAGATAAAGGAACGGGATTTCCCTTTTTTATTTTCATTCACTGCCACCTCTTTCTACATCTTCCTGTAAGATGGACATTTCAATGTTTTCATCAACTGCAAAGCAAGGATAACTCAAACATGTGCAAATAAAGATTAACATGCTAGCTATACTGGCTAGCCCATCACGAAAGGCAGAGCTTTACCTATATTGTGCATATTGGTCTCCACAGTATAAAATGTGTGGCTTCAGGGGGAGTGGGGAGGATGCTCAGCATTAGATGCCAGTTTCCTAAAGAGAAGTCACCTTTTAGGATAAAGTACAGCTGTGAAAGCTGTGCAGTCAAGAAACCTTGTTGTATTTGTCTACTACGTAATATATTTCCACATCAGCAATCACTTCTATCCAAATGGATATATCCAAATGAAATGTCATTGCAGTAAAACTGCCCTCCGATGAGGCACCCTGATCATTTAAAAAAAGACAACAGCCATCCTTGCAAAGCATTCTAGTGCTACAAACTATGGTTCTTATACAGTGTTTCTTTCAGAAGAAAGCCTTCCTTGAAAATTATTTAACTCCTCTTTTAAATTGAACTTTGTGCAACCCTTTCAGGTTGCTTTGAAGAAAAATGTTGAATCAATCCATATTCTAAAATACCTTAGAAAGAAGAAAAATCCCAGCAGTAAATTCACCTAATTAAGTGGGGGTGTATCTAGCCCATAGGCTATTACCGCATCTCAGCTTAATATTTTTAAACATACTATATGTGGAGCAGGCAGTAAGCTCTTCTCATTATTTCTCAAATGAAGCTGAATAGATCTAACCCAAATTACAGCAAGATAAACCAGACAACTTAAGTGATGAAAATTGTACTTTTTCCTCTGCTTTAGGGGTGCTTCTGGCTCATCTGTCCTCTGATCAAGGTGAGCCTGATAAAGCTGAAAATTACACTGTGTGACTGGATTGTACGAGATTATCTTTCCCCTGAGAAGTGATTTATTTTAGTAACTCTTAATGAATAAGAAACTTTCTGCTCCAACACGCTGCTCTTCTTGTGTGGGCATGGTTCCTTACTGCTTTGAGTGAGAAATCACATAGAAGAAACATAGAATATGAGTGGCTACATCTTCTTTATGGTTCAAAGACTAATTTGTGTTATAAGAGAGAGCTTCAGGGACCACAAGTTTCATAAAAAGTGAAAATTATCATTAGTCTGTAGGTTTAACTGCAAAAATTACTGGCATATCTTCCACTTTTTGAGTGTGAGGAAAATCCAGTTTTGGTTTTGAGAGATCTCGCTTTGTAGAATTTGGGGTTTCTTGATCTTTAGATGATTCCAGGAGATGTTGCATATTCAGTTTGAAAATGAGGCGAGGATCTGGTCCAGAAAGAGATGGGCAATTGCAGCTTTCTCTTATTTTAAGAGCCTGTGAATACATAGGAAAACAAATCAAGCTCATTTAAATAAGAAAAACAAAAAAGGTTTCAGTCAGTGATTTGGCTTTCCAGTAAGGTCTGCATTTGTACACAAAGCTTAGTGAGTATAATACTGAGTCTGTGTTGTTACTGAACAACTTTTCAACAGAAACCAAGAATTTCTGAGAAGAAATGTAGCAATATGGTAAAACAATGGAAAAAAATGAAGAACGAAGACTGAAAATAATTTTCTCACAGATAGTCGCTCAAAGAATGGATACTCTAAAAGGTACAGCATAAATAAATAGGAAGTTCTCCAACTATTTTATGTGATATTTGTTCACATTAGTACCTTTTAATTTACATTCACATGTAAATTAAAATGACTGCATCAAGAAAAAAAAAGGGCTGTGTATAATTTACTTCATCAGATATGTTCTATTATTGAAGTAGCTATTTATAGATGTCCAACTCAAAAAAGGAGGGAAAAGTCTCCAGTAACATAATGGACGTTTAACTGTTCAACAGAGATCCAGATGGTTGATCAGTATAGTTAAGGTCCAGTTACACAAGTGATCTCATCTCCAAGAAGCACTTGAATACACAGCTTCCAAGTGTTCTGAGAAAACAATGTCTCTAGAAGGTAAAAGTTTTTCTGGATAAAAAGATTAGCACTAAGAGACCAAACTTTAAATTACTCCTGGTCACTGAGTAAGTGCCATTGCTTCCATTCTACAGATTAGAAAGTAGAGGCATAAAGAAGCCAAAGAATTTCCCAGAGAATCAAAATCCATTAGCGCAGGCACACTCCCCCCAGATCATTCTGCCTTGTGGGCAATCTGAGAAAGGTATGACAATGGATGAATCTCATGTCTCAAAGGCACCGTGGAGAAATTGATATAAACCAGTATAAAGTCAGCTGTTTTAAAGGATGCTTAAGTTGGTGTTCATTGTAACGAAGCTGAACATACTTTAATTAGTCCATAAAAACAGGCAGCTCATTTTAGAGCTAACAATGGATACCACACAACCAAGTCCAATGCAGTGCTTTGCAAGTGGCTGTACGCAGATCTACTAGTATCCATGGATTCTCCTACAAGACCTATTTAAACTAATCAAGAAAAGCAAGTTCCTATGTATTATATAGAAAAATATTATATGTAGAATTTTAGAGGGTTATATTATATGTAGAATTTTTCAGAATCTCCGCTGAGAACTATTTTTTCAAGATTTGCAAAATGAAACACCAAGAAAACACCAAGTCAAAAACTAGCCTGATATTTAGCACTGATCAATGGTCACTTTTATGCAGTATTATCTGTATCTCAGCCTCAATTAACAGCATAAAACTATGGGCAGATTAACATCCAGCTTTATTTTTAATCCTTTTACGGGAAAATAAGTTCAAATGTGTATTTTATTCCACTTCTCTTCATAACCGTGGATTCTTGAAAAGTAATGGCCAGACCTGTCCTGAGTTGTAGCCAGATGCTTCCTGACCAGTACTAGGGACTGTTAGCGGAAAGCGTGGGTTGATTCATTTGTTCTAGATGGATTAAAGAGGAAGAAGAAAGTAACACAGTTTCCATAGCAGTCCTACCGCTGCACTTAAAAAACAGAGCAGAAATTTTAATTTGATTTATATACACTAGATGTGGCTGAAATATCAAATCAAATATTCCAGTACACTTATGCATAAGTATTTGCCTACCATTTTGAAACAATTCGGTATTTCTTCCACAGGAGACACTGGGAACATCTTACTACAGAAGATTTTAAAATAGAAGAGCAGAGCTTCTTAACTCATTTCTTTGTATAAGGAGGTACCAAAACATATTTCTCTCTCACTTTACTACAGTGAACTGATAAAGAGTTTGCTGTAAATGGCTAGAAACAAATAGCATTTAAATTTAACAACTGGTTTTGGAAAAAGACACATTCCAGGAATGCAGCAAGTTTCTTCAGCTGTTTCTTGCTGAAGTGTAACATTCAAATTACTGGATACACAAGTCTGGATTAGGCATGCAAATATTTCTCTTAGATTAACTTCTAAAAAATACGAATAAAGCTTTCAGTATTTGTTTTTCTACAGCATGATCATCCATGTAGTCACCAAATGTTAACCGTACTGCTGAACACTATTCTGCTTTGGTGACCAGTTAGCTTCTAAACTGACATTTATGACAAACCAAGAGTTTTTACTTATTCTCTTCCAGAACATAAGCTGCTGCAAGACTGCATTAATGTCAAGCAGCATTATTCAAGGGAAATGGAAATACAAAGATTTAGGCTGTATCCTGGAACGGGCAACATAATCTTCTTTTAAATAAATTTAGCAATTTTAAATCTCTAGTTTTCTTGGCTATATAGTGCCTGGCCTATTTTCATTGTTTCACTTATCTAAAATACTAGAGTCACAACAGCAAAGGTAAAAAACAATACTTCAGCGTTAACATTTTTACCCTCTGGATGTCTTTGCGTTCCTGCTAGATGTAAAGCTGTCCAAGGAGGTAGAAGGCATCTATTCAACACCCATCAAATCACATGCCATTAAAAAGACTACATTATGAGAATGGAAAGCTACGTTGACATGTCATCTCACTGTTAAAGACAGCTATGACTACACACTCTAGTGAAAGTAGTCTTTGTATGTACGTTTGTGACTGCCATGCAACATTCAACCCTAGTTAGAAAGTGTTCTTTCCCTGGCTCAGTTGACTGCTGCTATTTTGTTTTGTGCCAGTAGCTCTGTAACATCATTAAGATGCCAGTAACAGGCTGAGGAGCTTACAATATAATTTTTCCTGAAAGATAAAACAGCCCAACATGGTCAGCCGTACTGTACTTCCAAAATTGCTAGCAACTTCAAATCTGGTAATTTAATATTGCTCAAGTAAATTGTTTTTTGACAGTTTGGGTAAGAGGACAAGTAAAAGCATTCTTAATGAAGCACATGCACATTGATATTATAATAAGAACATGTTTCATTGACTGTTTATACTGAAGAGTGTTCTCAATAAAGAAGACGGACAGAACGGAGACAAGGATAACTAGCTAGAGTGAGTACGTAGATTCACCTGGGAACTGACAGTAGTGTAATGCTGTTCTTTTCAGGTTAACCTTAAGAGAGAAGTACTGCTGTTCAGAATAAAGACCACCTGCATGCTTACTGGTTCAGGAGATCTCAAATAAAACATCAAAACTATTGCTTGTCAGTAATAAAGGTGAAGCTGTTTTTCTTATCAGTACAATTGCAGTCACCTCCTGCAATGTGCATAAGAATTAGGGAGGTCTGCCTCATCCTATTGCTTTCATATAAAGCCTACCAGCAGAGACAAATACAGAAAAAAGTAATTTTTAGCTCTCTGTATTAATCCTTCACCACTGTCACAGATACCAGGCTAACTGCAGCATCTCAACCCCCTTACAGTCTTTTGGAGTGCATCTGACCTCTCAGGCTGTCAGCTCTCTCAGTATAAAAGCCACATCATTCTCGTGTCCACAAAACAGGCCAAGGGTTATAGTCTCTTGTGTATTAACTGCAATTACTTCGGCAGGGCTGACTTACGCTCTGACTTTGCAATTCTGACAAAAAAACTAAGAAATAGCACAAGCATGTAGGGAAAAAAAGAAAAAAAATTTAAAAAATCAGAAACGCTGAGTTGCAAAATGAATTACAATTAGCAGGCATAGGGAAGACAACAGGTCCTACAAATGAAGCAGTAGTAAAAAGATTACTAAAAGAATGGATAGATTTGTTACTAGATAGAGAAGAAAAGCAACCTTTATATAATGCTAATACTCCAAATCTTTCACTGCTTCTGTTGGCACAGAAAAGGAAAATGGTGACAAAATATTTAACAACTTTATGGAGAGGATAGAAACACAGGTCAGTATTTTTTATTTTTATTTTCCTTTAAGTTTTCACATTGATAGGGCTTAATTAATATATGCTAGTACTAGAACTATCTGAAGTAATCTTCACATCACAAGCAAAGGGCAAATATACCAACCCATTTTTGAAAAGGAAGCAAAATAAATGTATCGTCAATATCCCAAAAGGCAGCAGACTGAGTAATAAGCAATAACTACCCAAACAATAATAAAAGTTATGAACAGCCAATGTAGATTTGACAAGAACAGATCTTGGCAAAGTAAATTTTTTTTTTTTTTTTAAAAGTTAATTGACCTAGCAAACAAAAGAGAAGCAGCAGAGGTGACATATCCCAACTTAGTATTACTCTCAAAATGATCTCAGCATGGCATTTTCACAAGAATGAGTGGGAAAAGGGAGTTACAGTGAATCAAAAATGGAATCTGAGCCAACAACGTGATGGCAAAAAAGCAAATGTCACATCAAGACGAATTTTTATGTTGCAGGCAAGGCACAGTAGATAACCTTCTGCTTTATTCAGTATAGCTGAGTCTTCAGCTCACGTACAGTGTTCTATTTGGACAGCATACTAGGAAAAAGGTAGACAAACTGTAGCAAGTCAGAGAACATTAAAATAAAAGGTTCAGAGATGAACTAGAAGATCCTATAGCTTCCCTCTGGCACTACACTTCCACAACTTTTCTCTCCAGGACAATGGTAAGCATCCTTCCCGCTAGTACAAAATTATTTTAAGATTTCTTCTGAAAAAAAAAATGCATGGGCCTTTACCGAGCATTTCACCACCTTCCACATAGGAATTCTAGGAGATTTCAGTTTCCTATTTAACAGTATATTCTGTTTTCCTAGTTTACAATGCACATCTCTCCCAGTCTGAGGGGGAAATCCTTTAAAAACATGGTAAGTCTTCTTAATTGTCTTCCAGGACAGCACCACTTTGTAACTGCTTACAGCTCTCTTATTTAGTAATTCCTCAGCTTGGCTGTAGCTTCCAGCTTGTTCAGAAAACCTGCAAGATCTTTAAAAGACAGGGAGCAAATCAAATGGGTTTCAATTATGTGAAAAGAGAATGCCTGTGATATCCCTGCTTTAATTTACATTTCCTGAGACTGTTAAGTCACCTCGTTGAGACATGCCATTTCATTACCTGAAGAAAAATTCTTACTTTATGTGATCGCATCTTATTGTGAACTTGCTTAGAAGTCTGTTGAGAAACATCTGTGTGGCCTGAGAAGTCCAAAAACTTGTCCCTATTACCCCCAGCTACAGTAGCTGGTCTAATAATAGATACTAATTTGTCCTGAAAACCATTTCAGCTTCAAAACCATCAGCATATGAAATACAACAATATTTGTATCAGTATCTTTAATACAAACACGTTTATTTCATTCATATCTTCAGAGGAAGGGCAATTTCAACTGAAGTAATATTCAAAGTCAAGTACAAAGGTAAAACCCAGCAGGTTTTTTTCAGGATTTAAACCCTTGTTTCTTGCTCACGATGAATCTGATACTGAGTCTAAGTAGTACAGTTTCTTCACAGAGATACTAGAGAGATAAAAAGGCCCTTTTTGAAATCTGGCTTCTCCCCCTGGGCTCTGAATATCTAATGACCATTAATATATGGTAAACGTACTGTTCTAAAAGGCTTTAAGTATGCGAACAATGAAACAAAAAGGCGCCGATATTGAACAACCACCAAGCCCTGGGATTCCCTTTAAATGCCTGAGATCCAGCTTCAAGAAGGCAGCTCTCAGATGAAGGGGAGTCAATGCTTCAGACAAGAAGCCTCCAACAACACCTCTACATACCTTCTTTCATTTTTATTCCACTCTTGTAGTATTAACTTCACTTATCTAGTGAACTGTTAAAAACAGGAAGCCTTCAGTCCCTGCTTTCTCATCCTACTCCAAAGAATGTTTAAGGTAAAAGGCAAATGAAAACATCTCCTCCTCAATTATCTTTTAGAAGAAAATTTCCTAGCTTCCACTGTTCTTGGAAGTGAGAGTGGCTATAAAATATGAAGTTTGCTCCACCTGCTCCACAAGAGATAAGACAGAAATAACAAGATTGCCAGTTCTACACAGTTGCTCAGCTATTTAACTTATTTGCTCAGTCCTGGGGTAGATAGAACATAAGAAGCAATTTTCATTACCACTTTATAAGCCAGTCAGTAACTATATGAAAATAAAGGCTCCTGAACCCTTTGTGTTCAATCTAACTAAAATTGAGGCTCCGCAAGAAGTATAGTTTTCCATTCAACTGCTCTAATGTGTTAGAAAATCCATCAAAGTGATCTCACAACCTGTTTTTGCAAAGTACAGAATTTGTGTATGTTAATTTAAAATATTTAGCCTAGCCAGTCTCCAACCTCCTACCCCTAATGTTGATTTTGATTTATGCCATTATTTAGAATATTTACTGCATTCATTCTCATCAAAGGATTAATGAAAAATCTTTTTTTCTCCTTTGAAATCAGCAAACACCTCAACATTCTAGTGCTCCCTCTGCCAATAAATCTTCAACTGTCTTTACAGTTTGGAACTGAGAAAGACTTAAAGTAACTGAGAGGGGGGAAAAAAAAAAAAAAGGAAAAAGAAATTACCGGTTGGTTATAAGAAAGGGAATTTCCAAACACAGTTTAGCTTGCTGAAAAATAGTGCTGTTGTGAAGTGCTTTAACACTATCTTTTAAAAAGAAAAAACTAGGCAAAAAACAATCCATGCTATTTTTCTGTAGTTAAAACCCCCACTATTTAAAGAAATAGTAAACAAACTAAGATTACTAAACTTGGAACAGTTCTCTGTTCTTAAGCTACCAGTGAGTAGCACATCAAATTAAGAGAATCCCCAAGCAGCTATCCACTCGGCATTCCTCTGAGAGGAAATCTGAAAGAAAGAACAGAGAAAAGACTGCAAATTGATGGGCAATTGCGTGAATTAGCTCAAGTTCCTTGGAGTAGGGTAAAATTTGCTCCCTATGTGACGGAACAGAGATGTGAAGAAAAAAGCAGGCTGCAAAACCTACAGAGACCTATCATAACTAGGGCTATTAAGAAATCTTCTACTGGGGATCTGACACTCTTTTGAGGCACAGTTATTCAAGGTGTATTCAATCCTACATCAGTGAGAGAGACAGGATAGGATGGAACATTCTCTATTTGACAGCCTAGGGCTAGCTACCAAAGCAAGAGAAGTCAAGACAGTTTAGGGACCCAACTTAAACACTGGCTTCCAAAATGGCAAAAAAGATAAGAATGGATGAGAACTGTGACACTGTCACATCTACACCAGGAAGGCCATTTGAAAGCAAAAATACTACAATTCAATCAGAAAAGAAAAAGAAAACTAGAATATAATTACATTTTACCTATGCTATCTTAATTTTTCCTCATTTAATAAAACCTTTAAGGTTGAGAGCTTTGTAACAGAAAATTTCTATAAGGATAAAGAGGAAGATAAGCACAATGCTAAAAGAGTAGATCATGAAACAATACTAAAGTAGCTCATGAATCAATACCAAACTAATTCTGGCAACCTTCCTAAGAGAAAAAGACACCCTTCCTTCAACTCTGCTTACCTCTGGGATAAGCCGGTCTAAGTGCTCAGCTCTATTTTCATGAGAAGGGTGTGTGGAGAGCCACTCTGGTAACTTAGGCTGCCCTTGAATGGTTTCTGCTAATTCCATTTGTTGCCAAAATACGCTGCTTGCTCGTACATCCACACAAGCCTGAAAACAGAAAGGAAATGTATACACTACTATTATTTTTGAAGTAATACAACACACATTCTAATGGATATTGAATTACAAAAGACATCTTAAATTTTAAATCTCTAAAGCCTGTTTAGATGGTACCCCTCATACCTGACAGGAAAAGGCTGTTCTAAAATATCTAAATGCAGTAAGAAACTCATCCAGATAGATACTGGATTTGTTCCTTTTAACATCTATGTAATTCCACCAATCTTAAAAAACTTACACCTGAATTAGACAATTCAGGAGAAAAACAGATTCATGATTTCTGACATGTACTTGTTCTTTAAAAAAAACTCAGCTGCTTATTCTAAGTTATATTTGCTAGACATAGTACAGCAGAAGAACAAATTAATAATCTCCACAGATTTAGGCAAATTTACAGGAAGAAGTTTAGAGTCAAAAATATAAAGTGATAATAATTCATACTTAAATATCTCTAAAAATGAACTGCAAAGGCTTTTCTGTAAGTGATTACACTGCCTTTTTCAAGGGTGATCTGTGTAATCCACAACAGATTAAAATAGTAATTCTGCAGAATTCCTCTCTCTCTCCATAGAAGTATATATTTAACCATAGAAATTCATGGAACACTAACTTTTAAAGAATGGCATTTGTGTATCACCAACAGACTCCTTTATATTTGCATTTAAGTGGAGGGGAAAAAAGAACAAGATTTCTTACATTAATTTTCATTTAAGAGAAAAAGAGATGAGTACTCAGCAGGTAAGAAAATTACTCCCCCCACCCAGAAATACAGAAGTGGTACTTTATCCTTTCAATTTATTTCTTAAAACTATTATTATAAAAAGATTATCTGCACAAGCAGAGAAATGTTGAGATACCACTTTGCTTGTTTGTTTCTGGTATGGCCCTACATCTTAGGTATTACAAAGCAGTGAGCACCCACACAGCAGTTACATTTTTTTCATGGATTGTTGTTATTCCCTTAGATGACTTTAAACTACAAATGCAGTTTCAAACCCAGAATCAAAGTTAATTTTAAAAACTCTTCCTTGAAGAAATATTAATAATTATTAAGAAAAGGAAATTTTCCTTATGAATTATTAACACTAGATGGTGCTGCTCTCATAGTTATCTAACACTTATCTAGTTCTATTGCACTTAGCTAGAAGTGAAAGAGTTGTTTTAGTTTCTTTAATTTAGAATTAAAATCCACAGGAACAAAAAAAAAGTGACTGAAAAAACAAATTACGAAAAAAATGCCAAGTAGTTTCTGACCAAATTTTTGTCCTACTTTAGTGAAGCCACATTATTTTTATGGCTGTATTTAAACTAAATCTTTAAATACTAGAACAATACTGATATACTTCGTAATTATCAGCGATCACAGAAAATATAATCACAATATCAAAAAGTTCTTAAATTTTACTGCATTGTTATGAGAATAGATATTATAGATTAGAATATTTTAGGTACACTACAATATAGTAAAGCATTCCTCAGAACTTCCCACAACAGATGGAAACTAAGTGAAACAAAAATCTAAAGGGTAATTTATATCTTTACATACCGTTAAATATATCCTACTTACAGAAGTTCACTATTTGGCATTCTCCTTTTTATAAATACGTAGCTTTTTCTTCTAATAGTAATAAACAACATAGAAAGTATACTGTGCAGTTAATAATGCACAACTTTAAAAGTTTCAATTTTATTACCTACAGTTTAGCCAGAATGACTTTGTCTTTGCCTACAAACTGTTTTATTTCCCATTCGTTCTTTAATCTACATATCTTTAAAAATTTGGGAACTCTCCCACACACAGTTTACCTCTGTATGAAGTGTGAAACTCCCTTTGATTATAATAGAAAATGTCTGGTAAATTGCTAACGAAACAAACCAGTTGTAGTTACCTTTGCTGCAAACTGAAGTCCCACTTTATCAGCTTCAGCCTCCAATGTTCTGCTGTACGGTCTATCAAACATAAACTGCAAAGAAGCACATCAAAGCTCTATTTCTTGGTTTTGAATGTGTACAAAGCTAGAGTATTGTAGCTAGTTTTCTAACCTTCTCATAAGAAAAGATGTTTATCTATCATGTTCACATTGCATGTGATCAGTATTCATTTTCTTAATGTAATCTTTAATTCCATTATATGTAACTCATTGATCTTGTATTCAGTGGAAATTAATTCAAATTATACATATTTTCATGGCCCCTCTCATCAGCCACTCTCACAGCATTTTGCAGCAATCAAAGGGTCAATGCCAACTTTAAACGAGAATTTTTTCACTTCACTTTTATTGGCATTAAGGTTTTTCTATGTATGTAAAAATTGGTGTTAAGATTTTTTTACTCTATGTAAAAAATTCCAGTGGCTCCCTTAAACTTTTATGACAACTGTCTTTACACCTGTTATGATCTATTTGGTATGGTAAACAGCCCACAGTATGGCATAGCCATGAACATTTTCATGCAGAAATCACTCCTTTGTCATGATTATCCCCCAACACAAGTTGCAAATTGCCCTTGAGAAATCAAACTAGAAGACATACATCTGACCAACTCCTCTCCCTTTTTTCTAGGGTATGACATTGTATTAACACACACTAAGAAACAGTGGTAGTTTTCTCAAATGGTTATTTAGTCATATAACTCAGGATCTTCAGGCATATATAATTCATGTAGATTTGGGCAGCCTTGCCCTAGTATAACAGGTTATAGTAAATGCAAATCAGGCCTGGTTAAAACAGCCTGCTCCTGCAGAGATAAGGAACATGTCACAACATTCTGGTCTGGGCATCGATTAGGAAATATCAACTGAAAAATGGGGATGTGCATGGTTAGTGAAGAGAAAGAGGTTTTATCAGCTCTTTCTCTGGTTAATGAAACATGTCTTCCTTATACACAGTGGAAACTGAGTGTGTCTGACACAGAACAGCGGGGGGGGGGGGGGGGGAGGGAAGAAAAAACAGATAGAAATGAAAAGCACCAAAAGAAGTGGTCCAATCCCTTGAGTACATAAAGATATCTGTAACTTTTTGCTTCTTTCTAAAGTAGTACTGATAGTTTTTCTTTACTAGGTCAAAAATAAAAGCCAACCAAAGCTGATCCTCTACAGGTTTTTTCAAGCCAAATACACTGGTTTATAAGTAACCATAGACGAGGTCACTTTCTAAAGTCTTAATTTCCTTACAGACCTTAAACATGGCAATTATAAATTTATTTTTTCTCTGAAGAGAAAGTCATTATTTGAAGTGGAATATATATTTCTACTGCCTTGAAAAGTGCTCTGGGTCTACTGGAGTGCATATATTCACTAAACGGCAAAGATATCCCTGGCTAGTCTGTCACATATTCCTGAAGCACCATTTCCCAGTTAGCCAGATAAACTACTTGTTTAATAATTAAACATTTCTCAGACACAGAAATGAAACTGGTAACAGGCAACAGGACTACCCAAAGCACTAACTGGAACAGAGGCTTACACAACAGGCAGTTTTCTATCTCTTCAGTTACAAGCATTTGTGGTTTTCTTCTCTGGGAGGTTTACAACAATTTTAAATAAGAACGGGGTAGCATCCATCTCAAAAATATTTGCAGAAGTTTAAGAACTAGGGAATTGATGGTCTGAATGCATGTGTCTTAATAGACCATCTAAAAAGAGAGATCTAGGACAGCAAGAAGGTGGTAATAAAAAGATCAACACTTAAACTCTTACCCCTTAAATAATTTTATTTGCATTAACAGTTAAGCACTAGGGTATGACTATTTACCTGTATGTCTATCCCAATACTGCCAGCAAAAATATGGCTGTATTTTTAAAAATAAACACAACACTAATGCAATTTCTAGTTCAGGACCTACCCATGCTGCAGACTGCAGAAGCAGGGATGGCATCTGAAGAAACTATCACCCTATAATTGCTGTTATTTCCTTTACTTTTCCTCTGTGTATCTGCTACTGGCCAGTCACAAACAAGATACGAGCCTAAACAGACTCTGGTGTGATTCCATATAGCAATTCTTATGCTAGATATAGCTTAAGACCAAGTCAGGTTCCAGATTTGTTATGTTCTGATCAGTACCAAAATTTCATTAACATGTAAAAGACTTAAACGTGTCCTCTGCAATTTTTGGCAATTCTGTGTGTTTCTTCCTTAGATCTAAAATTAAAACTATAAGATAATCTGAATCTCATAGGAAAACTTGGCTCTCTTTCACAGTTCGCTTCTAGCCAATAAAGTCTTGGCAGTGGTCACATAAAAGGTCTTGATGCATCTAACATACAATACTACTCATCCACTACTGAAAAATGAATTTTTAAAAAAAATCTTTTGTGAATGTGCTGGACTGAAAAATTAGATCTTCAAACTCTGATCTAAAATCCTTGTCAGAAATTGAACATCATAAAGACAGATTTGATTTTTTCAAATCAATTACCAGAGCTGTCTGTGTATGTTAGAGAAAAGGAAGCCCCAGGTAAGTTGACTATCCAAAATCACCAGTTTCCACATGAAATACAGATGTGATGGTGTGAGGTGGACAAGAAAGGGAATATGAAGTACCGTATCTGTACATACTAGTATGCAGGACGTGAGTAAAACTCAGAGTCATGCTTTGTGCTATCCCAAGAATAATTCCTAGGCTTTCGTTCCCATAAAAAAGCAAAAAGTAAAAAAAAAGCAAAAAGCTTTTTTGTAAAAGCAAAGCCAACATGTTTCAGTTCAGAAATACATGACTAAAGAACAACCATGAATGAATCCCATAAGAGAATTTAACGATTTCTTAAGGCAAGCAAACCCACTAGCTTTGGAGAAAAAAAGCAGAACTGGAGCTGACATGCCAAAAGGCCTACAAAGGGTCACTGAAAACTACTCATAGCCAATAATAAAAAATAAACGATAGTCAGTAGGTAAAAAAGTTAAGCCTCTAAGGACATAAAAGAAAAACAAACACTGAAACCAAAGCAAGTACTGCAATGTGGCTTAAATAACCGTTTCATAGAGTGGGATGCTAAAACTTCAAAAAGTAAAATACAGTTATGGAAGAAGAGGAAAAGCAACAACCTGAGAAAATGTGCAGAAAAATTCATTTTCACATAAGCACAACAGGCAAATGTTGAATGGAGGAAACAAACAGATGTTGCACTCCTGGGTGACTAACAGAAACAAAAATTTCTGTTCAGCATCTTTTGTATATGGGACGAAAACTTTACCAGTATTAATCACTTATTTATTCTGCATTACATATGGATACGTTTAATGTTACTGAAGATGATTTTGATCAGAGTTTTAAACCAGGACATTACTGTACAATAGTATCTCATATATGATAGATCTTTCCTATAGCACACTAGGACTACGAGCTTAAACCCAGATTCCATTTGCAATCTAAAGCACAACTCCAATCCACGACGCCAAAGTATCAGTTGCAGTTAGCCTAGGAGAGGAGAAAAGATGCTGACAGGGAGTTAAATCTTGCTGTCTAAATTATGAGCAGTCTCAGGATTGATTCACACTTTGCTTTTTCCAAATTCAGCTCTTCAAAACTCTGGCTAGCATTCATCAATGTATTGGTTTCTTAGCTACTTGTACAAATATCCAAGTTCTTTAGAGATAATTTATGTTCAGAATCCACACATCTACCCATTAGCATAAGAACTACCAAAACAGATTGATTATGTTTAATTGTATGTTTTTGAGGAACTGGAGGAAATCTCAGGAAAAGCATCAAGAGAAGTCAAAGAAACCAAAGAGCTCTTTCACTTAAATTCAGATTCAAGTTTTATGATGTAAGCAAAATTTCTTTAAAAAAACCCCACTTTTTTAAAAAGAAACGAATCAGTAACTGTCTGGAGGCAGAGAGTAAATTAGACCACTGAAGAAAAATAGCACCACAAAGCCTCTGAATTTTACTTTATTGGAATATATGCTGTCTGAAAAGATTATTTCAGTAAGTTTTATTATAGCATGGTTTAGACTTTTAAAGAGTGTTTAGATTCTCAATTTTCTTATTTTAGAAACCATTCTTACTACTAACAATGTATTTAAAGAGTTCCATATATTTTATTTGGTTTAGAAACAATTTAACAACTACTCAAAATAAAAACATCGCATTTCAACATATATAACTTTAAAGGGTGAGCTACATTTCAAAAAGACAATCATCTAATGTAATTGGCAAGCAGGTACTCGGAGCCTGTTCAGTTAAATCCAGTTTTAGATTTAGGGAAATCTGAAGTTCTTCAAGATGACAAATGAAAATATATATCAACTAAAGCAGACGCAGATTTATAAAAACTTATTTCATTCAAAAACATACTCAAATATTAATTTTTGTTTATAATATTTCTCCTTTTGCCTTTTTGCCCCAAACATACTATTTAGTGGTACTATCTCCCCAAGATTAAAAATGTTTTTCCATGGAACTCAGGAAGAATAATACAAAATGTCAGTCTTACCTCCTGCAACTTGCTCTGAATCCACTGGCCAACAACTGCCAAACTATCACGGGGACAGATGGCCCAAATCATAGTGAGAAAGATGAGTGATAGAAAATCCAAGAAGTGAACCAGGCTGGCTTTCTCTGCCTGCAAACAGAAATTGTCCCATTTTCATTCCTTACTGTCTGACGTTTCTTTAGAACATAACAGAATTTGGAAACACTGTAAAAATCACTTTTTTTTCTATGCAGCCACAGGAACAGGGCAAGCACAAGCTCGCCTGCTTGCACAAAAAAATCCAGTTGGATACAAGGTACTTTCAGTCTAGAATCCACACCAACTGCGTAAGTACAGCTGGAACAAACACATTTTTGCTATCTCCCAATTAGAGAGATTCAAAGCTTGAGATGACGGCAGCATGCAGGCAGAGTTCTTTAGTAAAAAGGCCATGAAACACCTCAGTTGGAATGAAAAAATCTATAAAAACACCTAGAAGACTGTTCTTTACATTAATTTGAGAAGATATAGACATCATTTAGACAGGAACACTAATGGGATAAGGGGACACTAGGCATAATATATTTATTCTTTATTTTCTGTTGCATTCCTTTAATTTCAGAAACTAAGAGAACCTGAAGAAAGAAATTGAAATTCTTCTGTTTTTCAGAGCTCTATTTGACATGCAACAAATTGATCTGAGCACCTATAAGTCGGCACATACAATACTTTTCCCTATGCCACTTGGGTAATACAGGTTCCATACAAACAAAGTAAGTTCTTTTTATTATTAGAAATATTTTTTTTAGAAGTGTAACAAGTTAGTTGGCTCAACTGAGCCCAAGAAACTATGATGTGAACTGTTGCTCATCCAAAATCATACAAGATGCAGTAAAGCAATTCTCCTGTATTTCCACTGCCTTTAAAATATATTTACCCGTTTCCAGATTAGCTTTGCAATTTTAGCAGGATCTTTATGTTTACAAGCTTCTCATTATGTCTTCTCAAACTGATGGATAGGTAATGAATACAATTTTTTAAAACGACATGCACAGAAAGAAATCAATTTGGAAGAAAGAAGCACTTTCTAGCAAATCATGCCAATCTAGAACAGTATGAGCCGTATTTCCGTACCATCCTCTTTTTTCATAGTTGTATCTACAAAGCACAACAAAATTATTGCGTCCATTCTGTTCAAATGGCAAAGAACTACCAATTTCAACACATCCATGTCACGATATGAAAAATTAAGTCTGTGAAAGCAATCATCTGTAAATGCAGAATCAAGGTCCAGGCATTCTGGAGTTTGGCATTCTAAAACTGTGTGCTACTATAAGAAAAATATAATGTATTTTAGAATAATTTATTAAAGTATATCCACTTCTGTAGATATTGACGAGTCTAGGAGTAACAAACCAAGTTACTGAGTGCCTCTAGTTCCTTATGTCTGCACTATAGGAGGATAAGCATCTCCAGATCAGGTTCTAAATGATTGTTAATAGTGAGCCATAATCCATCCATACAGTTATGAAAAAAACACTGGCAGCCTTTGTGCTAACACTGACTACTACAGGACTTCTGACAGTTACTAAGTACTACATGAGTAATAAGGATATACTGTATCAGAATACTCTCATTTCAAACTCAGTCCTTCATTAATTAGAAAGACTCACACTGAAACTTTGGTTGGTAGTGATAGGAAAAATCTTAATTAAAGTAATTAGAATTCATTTAAGAATTTTAGACAGCTTGCTTTAAATACTTACTGCATGTTCCAGCACAGCATGAGCTATTTCATGTCCCAAAATGAAAGACAGCTGATGAATATCAGAAACTGCATTTAGCAATCCAGTGAAAACAAACACTTGGCCATTCTGTAAACAAAAAGAGAGTGAAAATTAAGTAGAAGACACATAAATAAAATGCTGTTTCAATATTACTAATAATTTTTGTATTGGGTTCAACTTACTGGAAGCACAAAAGCATTTACACCTGGTTCGTCTACCACATGGATAACCCACTTGAGCGCTGAGACCTGTGGGATGTCCTTATTGCTTTCAGATAAATGACGAACAACTCTCTCCACAACCTGATAGTGTGCATCTGTCTCAGGTAACATTTTACTTTTGAATTCCTCCATCCACTGAAAAAAAAATTGATTGCCATGCAGAAAAAACACACAGTAAATGACTAATTGGTAAACTAACCTAGTGGCTACACACAACTTAGTTAAATCTAAGTTTTAATACATTTTTTTCTTTCATATAGCCAAAGCCAATATACTAGAGTTCAGGCTTTCAGACCCACAAGTTAAGGATTAATAAACTTAAAAGGAAGTAAACTGACCACAGATCAAAAATAAGATAGCATAAACTTGGTCCTACAGCCTCTTGTATCTGGCATTTTCCTAATACACAGTTAGTCTTGGCATCACAATTTGGCAACCTTTCTATACCTTCCTGAACTTCTATCTGAATTTATAATTTTTCTGTATCTGTATATTTCTGTTGTAATTTGTAAGGTGGACAAATTTATACAAAACATGTAATTTGAATGTATCCTTGTACTCCTTCTGTCCTTATCTCACATTCTCTGTCAGATGGGAATACAGTGACATTTGTATATGGATTATCAAGTTTCACTGGCTTTAGAACAGAAAGCCACAGAACTCAGAATTATAGAAATTAATGCAATGGACAGTTTAAAAGAAAGCAGTTAAAGAAAAATGAGCCGATCCAATAAAAAAAGAAGTAGAATTGAATGCAGGTGGAGAGTATTACCTTACAAAGTGACTGCTTAGAAGAGAGGACCTTAAACAAGTGCCAAAGAATGCTCAAATCAGCACAGAAAATGAGACAGATCTCAGCATATGCCTATTAGCTATGCTTTTATTGCTTCTACCAGATTTCTATATTTCTTGTTATATTACAGTAACACAGTTAGAAATGTTTGCTACATACATGTAACATGCTCTTTAACTGTCATGTGCCCCTGAGTGGTTTGCTGATGGAAAGGGAACTCTTAAAAAGGATGGGGACAAGAGGAGGGGGTAACTGATGGGGGTGCTCTGCAGGGTTCTGAGCATGAAGTTCAAACCTTATCAAGGACACCACAAGGTTTGTTTGCCCATCTCATTAATTGGACTATCTCATCACTAAAAAAAAGCATCAACAGTTTTAGAGTATTTTGAATTTTTCTTTAAAATCTTACCATATCATATTCCATCTGTGACAGTTCCCTAAAATGCCCTTTTCCAAACACCAACAGTCGAGTGCGCCCAGTGATGGGTGTCTCCTCCAAGTGAGTAAAATAAAACACAACAAATAAAACTCCTAAGCTACTGACACCCAGGAGTATCTTCCATTTATTTTTTCTCGCACTTTCTTTAAAAAGTTCCTGTTTATTAGGAGGAAGTGCCTTCCACCAGTTTCTTATGCTCCTGTAAGATACAAACAGTGTTAACTTAGGAGGTAGTTAAAAAGGAATTTGTTAGTGTCTGCCCTTGCTGTATTCTCTATTACAGTCTCACCTCATGTAAGAGCTTATGGAAGGTTATACTGTAATTGGCTTCTACTCCACTCCATTTCTTCCCTCCCACAGGAAAATAAGGAATGCCCCTTAGTGTCTTGGTTCATCTCCCTCTACCACATGTAAATGAGAAGAGCAAAAGATACATCTAACACCTCTGATAATGGAAACAACTTCTTGTTGAGCAAACCGTCAGTCTAGGCCCCAGTCCTACAAAATTTTGCAAAGATATTAAAATGAAAACACTACAAATACACCTACCATTCTCCACAAACTCACGCACACATCTTTCCATAATGGGGTCTTACACTGAGAGAGGAAGTAAGATAGTATTTTACCTGCCAAGAATGATAGCAAATAATTTCTGAGCTGGCTTAACAATAATCCAGAAAAGAGGAACTGGTGCAGCCTGAAATGATGGTGATGTGTGAAAAGACCTGATGAGCTGAATGTTCCAAGCAGAAAAGTGATGTGGGAGTCGTCCTACAGAACTGATCTGGAGGGATGTGATCTTCTCCCCCAATGGCCGAAAAGACTGGAAGCAAAACCTTCCTGAACTGTGGTGTGCATTCTTGTACACTTCTGTATTTGGGACGTTCAAAAGACACCGCAGTCCTTTACCAATGAAGTTTCTATAGGAGTCAGGGCTTCCAGTCAAAAAACAGTTTCTAGTATTTCCACTCAAATCCAGCCTCTGGCATCTATCTTGTGTACAACTGACTTGAGTTCGGCAATATCCCTTGTAAAACCTATAGAGATTATTGCACTTCCCCTGCTTGGTCAAAGAAGCCAAACGAAAAAAAATACAGTTCTTGCCCGACAACTTTAGACCATAGATGATATTCATAACTTCTTTGGTTGGTTACCCTGAAACAAAGAAAAAAATAGCAGAGAGGTGTTAAGAAAACCAGACAAACATGAAACTCTGAAACATTACCTCATGTCTTCTGAACAGATACCATGTATTTGTTTACCAAAAGTTGCATTGCACAAAAAAAGTCACAGTTACAACTGCGTCCTGTTGCAGTTTTAAGGTACCAATCTGCTTTCAACTGTGAAAAAGTCAATGTCTTACATCACTGAGAACAAAACAAAGTGTGATTTTTTTCTTTTGTTTTTATTACCACCAGATCAGAATGACTGCAGGTGTCCCTTGTGGAAGACATGTGTGCATCATCACCCTTCCATGCTGGGCTCCTTGCCACAGGTGCCATTCATACATACTGAGGAAAACCAGGATCTATTGAGCATTTTGGTAATACTCTGCTGTTGAACGCAGGGTGCATATCAGCTGCACCCGGCCTCGAAACAAAATGACTCAACACAGAAAAATCAAGTGCCTCCCAGCCTGTACCCTCTTACTCCCGGGGCATAAAATGGAAATGCTTTCCCGCCGGGCAGGCCCCGGCGCCCGGCCAGCCCCCGCGGCGGTCATTTTCACCCGCTGGCTCTAACAGCGGCCTCCGCTTCCCTCCCCACCCCCCGCCGGCATCGCCGCCCCTCTCAGAGAGAGGAACCGCACCGTCGGCTCCACCCGCCTTTTGCTTGTCCTCCCTTTCTGGCAGCGGCCTGACGCCCCGAGTCGCCCTTGGGTGCTGACCTCGGCTGCCAGCCCTCGGCGCCCGGCATCCCGCACGCGAACAACCCCCCGGCCTCAGTGCTGGCGCGACTATCGTGATATGGGCAAACTGAGGAGGCGGGGGGAGAGAGGGAGACGTGTCACTCTGCGGCGCCCGCCC